ATTTCTATAATTCCATTGGATTCGTATCAATTCGCTCTGCCATCCCTAAAACCATAAAGATTATTTTGTTGAGAAAATCTCATCCCTATGTCCATTCCCAAGCATAACACAATATATTTCAGCAGTTCTCCCACTCCTTTAGATGTTTTTAATACTGGACAAGGAGATTTGCAGGATGTAAGCTTTACAGCCTGTGAAGTTCTCACATCTCCAGGTGGAATTGCTTAACAGTTACAAAAAAAGAAAAATAAAACTTTAAAGGAGAGGGAAGGGAAGAATTGTGGTGAGGTTGTTGCTCCACAAAAGGGAAATCAATAAAACTCCAAGAAGTGTGAGACAGGTGATGTGCTTCTTACTGGTTAAACTCAATGGAATGAATGCTTTGAGTTTCAGTGATCCCTAAAGGCTTTATCAACTTACTGCATATAAGAAACAAAGAGTCCCTGCCTCTTTGCAGTGTTGGGATCTCCTTGGGAGGGTGATGAGGAACATTCATAAATAATAACATGAAGCCAGGCACATGTGCAAAGATAAACAGCACATACAGACAGCCAGGGCAGAGAATAGCTCATACCAGAAAAAGGCATTTCTGCCTATTATAGCAGAATAGCACCCACAGGATTAGGGAAATTTCATGTGCAATCCTTGATCTCAGCTTATAAATAAATCAGGTTCAAGGAACAGGTAGATCCAAACTGAGATTCTCAAGCTGGATCTGTTAGTTCAGTGCATGCCTACACTGACACCACAGCATTTGGATGCCAACCATGGACACACTGAATCTTTGAGAGAGAAGAGGGCCTGCAAGTGGAGAGCTCACTTCTGTTTTACCAAAGCGCGTCCCCCAAAGACCTGATGCGATGTGATCCCACAGGAGGCCTCAGGCCCATTCTTGGAAGCCTTCACCCAAGCATGGCAGCACAGTCCAAGTACCGGGAGGAATGAAAGCAGCCCCTGCTGCCCTTCAGGCTACCAGTTATTTTTCAAAGTCCAACACCTTCCCCAAACCCACTGCCTCCAGCACAGCTCCCACTGGCCACAGCCTGGCGCATGCGCCCCTGCTGATCCCCAGACCCCTCCTTACCTCCCAGCACATAGAGGGAGTTTGCAGGGAGGGCAGCATGATGCCAAACCACAGGGTGGAGCGAGGAGAGCATCTGCTCCACTGCTGCAGTGCTCAACAGCATCACTGAGTAATGGCTGCTGTTTCGTGCCTTTGGGTTGTCCACACAGCACCCATTGGGAGGGCACAAATGCTGCGCAGCATTGGGCTGGTGCTCAGTCTTTCTTGTGCTTTAAAGAAACTGAATCAATATCCAAGAGTAAAAAACACAGCTTCTGCTGTTGTAAACTGCCAGCTTCTGAAATTACACAAGCAAACAGTATTAAAATAAATAAAACCGAAATTGTACGGTTTCTAAGAGCCCATACCATTGTTAATGTCAGTACCAGAGAGCATTTGCCTTTTGCAGAGTTATAGGAAGGTTTGGTTTGGCTGAACTCTCATTGTCTGGTCAGTTCTCGCTTCCCTAGCAAGAATATGAATGGTTTCTATTTAGAGGAGATTACAGGTAGCCATAAATTATCACCTAGTGTGGGCTGCTCGCTGGCCCGAGCACCTTGCCAGCACCTCACATCACCAGGAGCCAATGCCTCGCTGGTACAACCTGCCAAGTCGTGGTCCACGTAAACTCAGTTTCTGACATGTGTTATGTTGATCACAGGGAAGTAATGGAGAGACCTAGTTAGGGAAGAATGAAGCATTTTTTCCCCATCTATCATAGGTACTTTTCAGATGACTGCATTCCTGCATGACCAAATCATCTTTTTAAAAAATATCTTAGCTGCTTTACTGCCCGTCCCTAAAAATCAGCTATGACCAGACAGCTCAGATTGTCTGTGTTATCAGCCTCCAGAACTCAGATATTAATTAGCATCCGCACATTATTGCTAATTGTGGAGCTTTGCCTTCCAGGCTCACAGAGGTATTGATTACCACACTGGCATTTCTGACTCAAAGAAGTGAGTTGAAGTAAAATACTGCCATGAGCAGAGACGCACACAAGGTTTTTCCAAAGCACACATTCAACTAATGCTCCTGGTATAAACCTATTTAAATGCAGTGCATGTGGTATACATGAATACACCGATGTTCTGCAGTGAATTAAGAGAACTACTTTACAGGAACAGCCTAATTAAGCTTCCTAAAACTCCTGAGTGAACATAAAATCATCCTTGTTTTGCCATCAAGTGCTACAAAGTTAATTAAATGAAAAAGTCAGACAGTAACTTAAAATATGGCAAAGAGGTCCAAAAACTGACTTCTAGTCCCAGTCGATAGGAAGTCCTCCCTAAGTACAAATTTCATTTTACTTCAGAGGATCCTGCAGACCTCGCTTTGTAATGGAGAGATGATTGAACTGCAAGATGTCGCTTTGCTATAGGGAGCATCAAATAGTTTGGGGATTGAAAAACAGTACCGAGAATCAAAGAATATTTTGTATTCCAGACCTCAGTAACTCAGGAAAAAAAAAAAATTAAAACAAAAAACAGTGACCAAAGCTCCAAGAACCTGATCAGAGGTAATGCAATAATGGGTGTACTCATATGTGCTTACTGCTTCTGAAGGGTTCTGCCCTTCTGCTTCCTTTACCAAAACAATCAGAAAGATGTAAATGGTTATTAGTAGATTGAAACTGATATTTGAAATAAATACCGAGATGAGGGGCCATCACTGAAATGATCCTGTCAGAAGAACCACTGATAAACACAGAAATGAGCCGGGGACAAGTGCAGCACAGGGACGGGAGGAACTCGCTGCAAAGAACATTTTCAAGCTACAGTGACTTAAAAGCATCTTCAGGAACGTTAGGAACTGAAGAAAAGTCCACATACTCTATTTTTTCCACGGGCACGCACACGCTGGAGCAGAGCAGTGTATCTCAGCATAAAGCCCTGCACACAAAAAGGATACGGCAGCCAAATTCCGCCGTCTACCACAGTGTTAATAACAGTTATTATTACTGAGCTCCCTTCACTATCCTGGGTGGCTCTCAGAAAACAATGGCACAGTCTCTGCCTTGAAATGGTAATGTTCCACAGAGACATGATACAACAGGAGCGAAATGGAAGAGGTGGGTGGGGAGGGAGCAGGAGGACAACGGTGGCAGCAGTGGGATCACTCGTTCCATCCCGTGACTATCTTGATGCTCCCACTGAGGGATTTAATTAATGACCTCGACGAGGGCACAGAGCAGGAGGGCGCGGCAGTGCTTCGGAGCAATAACCAGGAAGGCAGACAGACGGGTGAAAGGAAAGCCAGCAGTTCCCAAAGGCTGGAACTGAGGAAACGCGGATGGATTTTGCTTTATGACACAGCCTGTGGTTGAGACACTGCAGTGCCTCACTTGCACACAGGTTCTGGGTGTCTGGCAAAGTGAGAGCACGCAGGCATCATTGGTGCCTCTCTTGCTGGCGTGGCTCCTTTACATTGTGAAACCTGCAGTTAAAGACAGCAAGCTTTGGGCCTCACCTACCTGCCTGCTGCCTCCAGCGTCACTTAGCTCAAAACACCACGTAAGAATGGAGCGCACACAAATGAAAACACAGTGCTCCTTAATATAGATCATCTTTCTGTTCCACATACTGTGTGGTAACTTCTATCTACAAGCTCATGTGACAGCTGAGGAAGACAGCAAGCTTTATACAGAGGAAGGTAAATGAAGTCTTGCTTTCCTTGAAACGATAATTTGATTTGAAAAGGAAAATCTGTGAAGTTTTCATGGGCAAACACAAATTCTAAAACAAAAACTGTCTATGAAACCTCTTATTTCATAGCGCTGAAGTGAAGAAGAAAAGGCACTTCTTTATATGAGGAGTTTTTCCTGCCTTGTCATTTTCATGACCATCACCTGCTGCCCTCCGGCGAAGAAAAGCTCACGTCTCACCCTCCAGAGCAGCATTCCCCATGTGAGCAGGGAACAGCTTGTGCTCCTCCAGAGTGACACTGCCCTCACTGCCCTCCTGCAACCACAGCTCACCTGGCAGAGCCCATCAGGGCCGGGTTGAGCCCAACAAACAAGCACTGCGCCCAGCAGCCCCGCGTGCCCCCACCCTGACCTCACACACCACGTTTCACTGAATAAGCAAAGTGATGTCAGGAACCAGGAAGCTTTTTTTCTGGCTCGGCTTGTTTGTTGGCCTTGTGTACTCCCCAGGTGCAGAGGTGAGCATGAGGTAATCATACCTAGTGAATCTGAGGCTTAGGCTATAGGAAACCAACAGAATTTATGTAATTTTGGCATGCAGCAGCTTTCTTCTCTTTAAATTCAGCAGCGAGCAGCAGGCTAGGCTGCAGAACAGAGCGTGCTCTATGCTACACCCAGATCTTCCTCACTGCACCGGAGCCTCAATCAGGGGAAGGGGCTCTGAGCCCCCACATTGCTCAGGTACTCCCATCTCCCTGGAGATTCCTGGAAAAAGGGATGGAACTGGAACTTGGTTTATTTGCTGCCAGATTCTCCGCTCTGACTTAGGGGTGCATTTCCCAAAGGATGCTTTGAAGAGAATCAAAAAAGGATGGTTAGAGATAAGAATTATTATGTAAGCGATTAGCATAGGCTCAACGGAGAACAGGAGAGAGGGAATGACCAATCTCTTCTTTATTCCATGGCTTCTAATTTGCCTGAGTGATTGAAGGCTTCTGAGGCAGGAGCTGAATTAACAAGAGATCCCCAAGCTAGGCACAGCTCATCTGCAAGTGACAACGTTCCTGAGACAGAAGACTCCCAAAGCTGGTAATAATACCCTGCACGGCTCCCACCTAGCTAGGAAGTTAGCTCTGAGCAGATGGTTCAGCTGGATGCTTGCAGAACTTTCCAAACCCATTTTTTTCTATGAGTCTGCAAGCACTGAGCCTTTCAGAGGTGCTGCTAAGGCCACGGCTGCTCCTTGAAGCTGCTTTAATTTACACTTTAATTTACTGCAGTGGAAGTGCTCTTGACTCCTGCTGAACTGCTTCCCCGTTTGACTTATGCTCACGTGCAGAGGACAGAATTTCTTCAAGGCTGGCCCCAAATCACAGACCTGCCAGAGAAGAAGACGACCTTGGACCTGAGTTCTGTGTGAAATTCATCACCCAGAAACATTTCTCCATGATCATTTCTTCACAGAGTCATGCAGACAGAAGCAGAAGAGCCCAGTCTTTCTGAGGCTGAAAAAATAAGGGAGAAAAGCAGCATTATTTATGCTGGCACTTTACACACTGACAATGGAGGTGCACTGGCACAGATTTTTTGTCCCGAATTTTGTATTTTTCCTACAGAACTTATCCATACTATTGCTTCCTAACCAATAGAAACAGGAATCTGCAGTCCCATCTGGAATTAAAATGCCATAATAACAACCACAGCAAAAGCTGGCATCTTCTCTGTGCACAGGGTTGCAGAATTGGAGGAGGGGCTTTGTGGGATTGCTTGAGGTTTTGACTGCAACAAGTTTTTGTAGATACAAGTCCTCTACCAAGGTCAAAGCTTTAATCCCAGCCTGACTCCTATCTCCCCTCCTTAGCACTCAGCAGAGCCCTTTCAATGAATCAAAGACCTCAACTTAAAGGAATAGAACACATTGTTCTCAAGGAAATACATTTCAAAGCTTATTACAGTTATTCATCCTTGTACTCCCAGACAATGAGTCTTAAAAGTCTTTCTAAGTCATCGAGCCACCAGTCCTGTGACTGGATTTCAGAAATGGATTAGGCTCCTCATTCTGTGGCTGCTGTCTCCCGTTCTACGGCACATGTGCCATGTAAGAAGCTGTGAGCTTCTGTATGTACGTATTTGTTTGCAGGTATTGTATTGCCAAGGATTTGAAAGAGAAAAAAAAAGACAACAAAACAACAGCAAATCCAAACACGAAACACCAAAAGAAACCTGCTTCCTGTAGAAAACCACAGCCATTTAGGAAACATTTGGCTACTTCCAGGGGACTATTAACATCTACCCCAGATGAGATAGGTTTTTACGCAGTCATTTTGTACCTACTCATGCGGCCTATCAAAAGTGTGAAGGCTTATTGATTATGCATGAGAATATTTAACATTAATTTAGCTTTTGCCTCTCTTAGCACCTTCTAAACTTCTCCCTAGCCCATTCAGCCATGGTCAACATCTCTGGAATTCACTGTGGCAGTCCTCAGTACAGTTCACAAAGAATGACCAGCGCTGTGTCACACCCCTAGTCTCTCCCTAGCTGTATGTAGAACATCTGGCTTGTGGAGGAATGGTCTTGTGCGAAATGAACCTTCTCAAGAATCACTGGGAAGCTTGGGGAAATGTGTGTACAGACTTTAAATCAAGGTACTGATTTGTATATCCACAATTTGCTGAATGTTCGGAATATTTGCCATAGATCTAGAAACCTCTGAAAACCAAGAATGTAAGTACAATGCAAAAGCAAGAGATCTGCAGGTGCCTTTAGTTCTTCTTGGACACAGTCTGCAGGGCTGGGCAGAACTCGGCCTGCTCAGACCCAGGACAGCCATTTGCATTTGTTCTGCTCACTTGATCACGAATTAGAGAATACCCAGAGTTGGAAGGGACCCATAAGCATCATCGAATAAAACTGTTCAAATACCATGGCATTAAGATTTCCCTGCAGCACCCTTCATTAGGTCACTGACGAGACAGTCATTTTGCCACACTCCTGTTCAAAGCACGAGAAGAGCTGTAACAGCTATCCTGGTGTAGAGGCCAGCCAACAGCTCCACAGTATTGAAGGACACAGTGCAGTCTGGAAGGCAAAGCTCCACATGCAGGGACCTCATGCAAGGTGCTGCGGGCAGGCTGATGTTCCATTGCAGGAAAGCAAGTTGCAGGCAGCCCAGGCATGGCGGGCCCCCTTACCAGAAGGGAAGCCATTCTGGTGAGCATCCCCAGCCTGGGGAGCAGTTCTAGATCTGCTGCTGCTGAAGCCTGGGCTTCAGGCTGCTGTGGTACCAGAATCTGCAAAGCAGTTGAAGAGGTCTAAGTGCATAAGTCCCACTAACTTCAATGGAGAGAAAGGGTTAAACTCCCCCAAGAGTTTAAAAATCTCAGCATAGACGTAGGACTGGCTTCACCACCACTGCGTGGAACTTGGCAACCGCACGAGAGGACACATCAACACTAAACAACGGTTTGGAACAGGAAGAGAAGATGAATATCTAATCCGACTGAAGCTCCAGAGGAAATATCACGCAGGCTGGCTGGACCTGGCCCAGCAGCCTCACACTGATGGCCGCAGCCTGACGGAAATTCTCCTCGCAGGTCTCTCCCTGCCGCCCGTCGGTGCTGTGCATCAGTCGCTGGAAGCATCGCTGCACTTTGGGGAGCCAAGGCCTCGATCTTGCAACTAAAAAGATAGGTTGTATATCCTTTAAAAGCAAAAATCATCCATTAATAGGCCTGGTCGGGGTGCCTGGGAGGAGGCGGCAGCTCAGGCTAATTCTTTTGTTTCTCTTGCTCGGTTTGTCAGAGATAAAGGTCTTCATAACATAAACACTTCCTACTTTGAATACGAGGAGTGGGAGCACTGCGTTGTTTCTTCTAAAGAAAATAAAAGCTAAAGCCTTTCTACCCCAAAGTCCCAAAAGACTCCAGATTTCCCACTTATCTAAGAAAAATGATTTGCACGGACGCTGTTTCCCAACACACGAGCTATAAATCGCCTCCAACTCCTGTGCAAGGACATCCCGAGAACTTCAACACCCGCGAGCTGGGAAGGCAGCCAAAGCCTTACGGAGTGGTGATCGCAGTTCCCACACCAAAGCTGTTACATGTGAAGTCTGTGGTGTCTCAGCGTTCCTCCTGAAGGCTGTTCTCATGCAGATAGAGCAGAAAGTGAGGAAACCTGTCTCTCCCAGCCTATGCCCGTGGAAAATAATGCTAATGCACTGAAGCAGGGAAGCTCCCACAAAGTCACTGGTGCAGGGAGCTGATTCCTTTGCAGAGAGAAGTTGGCTTTTGAAGTTCCCAAGATCCATTTGTTCACTTGATTCCCTCCTAGGTCTTCATGAGCAAATTGTGACTGCCCTATGCTGCCTTTTACTCCTATAAGCTTTGAGCTGCAGAACACCTTCAGCCTGGCCTTGCTCCAAGTTTGTGATTTTTCTCTTTTTTTTTTCTTTCATTTTAGCCTGGCTAGTTCTTAGCTGAATGTGTTTTCTGATCCAGGTCATTGCCATGAAGAAGAATAACACTGGAGCAAGAAGCATGCAGGACTGGATTTTCCCTTTGCTGAGGGCAGACACTAACTCCAGGATGAAGAGATTGTATCACAACTTCGTCACGTGCTTTTGCAAATTCCTTGCCAACACACCACCACAATCTGCATCTACTCCACTGCTAGTGAAGCTCTCCTAGTGACACTGCACCTGAGAAACACATCCTGGAATTGCAGGAGGAAATTCTTCACTCAGAGATGAAGTTGCTGGCATTGCTGCCCAGAGCTGTGGGTGCCCCTTCCCTGTGGTGCCCGAGGCTGTGCGTGGGCCCTGGGCAGCCTGCGCTGGATGGCAGCTGCCTCTGTCAGGGGTAGGGCTGGATGAAGTGGCCTGTTTCAAACCAGGGTCCTGTACAGCGTTCCAAACAGAATAAGTTGGCTCACACCATGTTTGATTTAGTCCCAAAATGACCTATCCCAGCAGGGCTTCATAAAGCTTAGGGGGGCACATCCTGTTCTGATCCTGCTGTCAAGGTCCATAAAAAGATCTGCACTTAATAAACCTTTCTTTCACCAAGGACTCAAACCCTGGGACTTCCCTTAGCTTCTCTAAGTGCATATATCATTTTGACCCAAAGGACATTTGTTACGCAGCTTGAATGTCTTCAGCTGCAACGGAGCACAGGCTTTTCACTACCCTGACAAAGCCAAAGCCATTTTTTGCATAACCCACTTTCTTTTCAAGTCACAAATCCCACTTGGAAGCACTGTGAGTTGCACACTAATTAACAGCCAGACAAGGATTTCAATAAAAAACACACCTGAAGTTCTGCAAATCTGACGCATCTAAGATGAAATGCATGAAGTCCAGTTTTGGAAGGACCCTTAATCCTCAGATCCAGTTTTATTTCCAAGATCTGCCACAGGCTTTGGAAATCATTTGTCACAACTGAAGAATTGAGGATATTGCAGTCTAATTCACTTTTAAAGCATTTTCATTGCTATTATTTCATGAAGTTATGCGTAGGATTTACCTTCTTCCCAGGACTTTATCAGCAGTTACTCAAGTAATGACAAATCTGATTTGTTACAGGAAAACACTGTGTGTATCTTAACCTCAAAAGTATGCCTTAGGATTGAAGAACACCCACTACCAAGCTTCCAGATCCCTCTATAAAAATGGAGTACATTGCACATGACTTATTCAGATACAGCTTATCCAGCCTGAAATGGGCTCGGCAGGATTTGCAATGAAGTCCTGACTGCTCTGAAATGAGAGAGACTTCTGTCAGGGACTTCAGGGGAGATGGATTTCATGTCTGGAATTTACCTTTTCTTTAATACACATGCACAGCACCTACAACATGCTCACACACATACTACCAACCAAGCTGGCAACAGCAATGTTTGTAAAGGTTTTGTTGTCTTTAACAGGGATTTGATTATACATTTTCCACCACTTACCCAGTGGCTTTTATGTTTTTCCCCCAACTCTAGTAGATTCAGCAGAATCAAATCAGTACTACTGGTTGGAATACACTGTTACTACTGCCCTTACTCTGAATGATCTGGGAGTTCACTCATCACAGAGGACAAGCAGAGGCTCACCTGGGGACCCAGAGGATGGCACAGCCAGCAGAAACGCTTCAGCACAGAATCTGAATCTCACCACATAGGACAGCCCTGAACCTAAGCAGGGATTTCAGGCGTTAACCCAGTATAAGTGAAAACATGTGGCAATGTACAGCCCACAGTTCTTCTTCCTTGAACTAGGGGATGTTTGATGGACGTAACTTTCGCCATAGCTATTCAACGTTTCTTCACTCTCGGTCAGATGGTGGGAGAATTGTTTTGTTGGGTGCCCCTCGAGTCAGATTGCCAAGAATAACGGCGGCCTCTCCTCCAAAAATGGCAGCTGGAGCCCTGTGCAAACAGCACGGCGGGCTCCCCTTGAAGTGACAGCAGGTCCCACCGACATCAAAGGCGACACGAGGTTTTTAGTGAGGGCTGTTTG